TATTACTAAAGTTACCGGTATTTTCAAAGTCAAAGGCTGGCACAACTTGTTGAAACACTTATATATATAAATAAATATATAAAGTGTATTTAATATAATATTTAAACATATATTTAAATTGTTTCAATTGCTACAAAATATTTTAAAACTAAAATGGGAGGAAAAAAACTCGATCCCCTACTGAGAATTGATCTCAAACTATATTATCGCCAAGCGTCCACTCTACCACTTGACCACACAAGATCTTCTCCAACAAGTATATCTTAAAACCAGGCCAATGGTAAATTTTTGCCGCGGTGTACCCAGGCCAAAGCCCACGATTTCACTAGGTACACCGCCGCGGTTTACGCAGGCCAAAGCCGATGGTTTCGCTAGGTACACCGCAGCAGTGTACGCATCCACTTCGGTTAAAAAAGGACAAATTAAGTCATACTTTAAAATTCATAACTTTAAAACAACAACAGCTAAAAATATGATTTTGGTGTTATAATAATAATTCTTTAAAAAATTAGCTTTATTCAACTATGCCATTGCCATTGGTTTCTTTTTACAAAAAGTTTTAATTTTCTAATCAAATCAAAGTGCCTACTGCCTACTTAAGGCTTAAGGCAATGAAATTTAAGCGCGATTAATTATTTCTAGTGATATAAAATTAAAACTTCCTCTTTACCTGATGGAACTAAAGGCCTAAAATAGCGTCTTTTTGTTCATGTACAATAAACATTTAACAAAATTGAACAAGATTTAAAAAAAAAAAGTAGCCTACATTTCATAAATCTTTTGTCATAAATGACGCCATTGTGGGGAAAACAAGAAGAACTCTTCTGTCTTCAAAGATACGTTATAAAAGTTGCCTAATTGGATATATTTAGATTTAAATAATTTTTTAAAAATCTCATAGATCTATCTACTTTGTCTGATATTTCTTTCTAGCCCACTGGATCCATGCACAGCAATGTAAAGGTGGTACTCGCAAGGGACCTCAATATCAGGCGACGCATTAGTCCAGGGCGCTGCTTTTCCTTTGCACGGTTGTGCATCCATTACGGACGTAACATGGCTAGAATTTTGAGAGTGGGGGTTATGTGGGAAATGTTTGTTAAAACTTTAAATAAAATTGTCAATTTCCTTTCTTAAAATTTGTGACAGTTTCGATTTCTCTCTCAATAAATAGCTGGTGATTTACTAAGACTAAGAGGCAAAAAGCGGGAAAGTAATGAAATATATGTCAGTAGCGAAATAAACACAATTGCAAACAGATGACTAACAAAGCAACTTGGCACCATCCAGATACATAAAATCACTAACACTGCCTCTCATTTTACTCACCACAAACCAGAGTCAACTGAGGTGGCATCTAAATAATTAAGTTCCATCTATCAAATTAGAGCTGACCAACCACAGACCATTTAAATAGCTTATTTGCCTACTTTGACTCACAATTGTCGAGAAAAAGTAAACCCACTTGCATAGGAAGGGGGCTGTGGAGGGGGTAGTCCACACAGGTGCCACTTTTTTAAAAAAATATAATGAAGGGCGGCATTTTCGGCGAGCTGAAGAGTTATTGTTTTTTTTTTTTTTTAAACTTAGTGGTAGTGGGTGGCACAACTCTCTAGTGAACATATCGCAACATAATCCCTGGTCCGCTCGAAACGTTTCCCAGATCTGCTCATTATGAGGACACGTTACACATCACCCAACGCTTGGAAATTGGTCGCTCTCTGTTGTTGGTGGAATTCTATTACGTAGCGAGTCTCTCGCTTCGCACCTTTTTTTTTGCCCATGCGCCGTTTCCCTGGTCTGGAATGCTGATTACCAAAGTCATTTTCTGATACACTAAAGTAATACGTCGGCATAGCGAGAGCGACGTGGCCTCCACGGCTTTGCCATGTTTCTTTTTAGTAAGGCTGTGGGCAGCAATGCAGTCGCCGCGGCTTACCCGTGTATAGGTTTACTTTAACAGATTTCTGATCGTTAATGCTGCATAAACTTTATGGTTTGTGTCCGTTGCGGTGGCCGCGCAAATGAACGCAGGACAAGTAAACCCACAACTCACCATAACACATCCAAACACAGGACTAGTGAACCAACGGACAAGTTAACACGCAGAAAAGTGAATACCGGTATATAGAACATAGACAGCTGAACCCAACAACTGGGTTTGAAAAGGCCTTGCTGAGATAATCGTCATTCTTGACTTGTTCTTGTAAATTTATGTTCACTGCTAATTCGCAATGATTGGTTCCGAAAGATTTCAGCTACTTTTATAAAGATGTAAATGTTTTTAATGTGCTGAAAATTATTTTACAAAATTGTGTAAATAACCATTTTTATTATATTTCTTGGGCAGATTTTTGTTTCCTAAACTGAGTCTATTGATTTCTTATTAAAAAACATTAACATGTTCTACAATATTGTTTAACATTTGTAAAAATATCTAGAAAATTCTTATCTTTTATGATAATTTCACATTGATATGCTTTAAATTTCATTTTATTTGACTCCTATATATCTAATATTGCTTAATTGAATTTTTTTCTCTTTTTAAAGTGGTCCACTTAGGATTTTCCATTTATCTCTGATGTCAAATGTATTATGAGGAAAAGTATTATTACCACATGCTTCAAAATTTGCAAGGTTTTTTTCTATTATATTCTCTACATAATGATTGATTTTTTTTTATAACATGTCTCATAAACAAAATTCCGTAGTTTTTATGATCCTATTATTTTTATTAGGCTTGAGGCTAGTGGGTTGTTGGGAAAATGCATTCATTTATATTCTATCAATTATATCTATGTACTTAAATTGTTTGTTTTTTTAATTAACCAGTGGAATGTGTTCATGATGTATGCATCCAATGTTGTTCAAGTAACCTTTAACTTTAATTTTTTAATAAGCATTCGTCAGTGTCTTTTTCAGCTTTTATCGATATAGCATTTTCATTTTTTTTCTGACGTCAATTGATGAATCAGGAGGAATAGTTTTGGAACTAAATAATTGAAACTTTGCATGCTTATTTATATTGACATTCTCCTCTTAATGATGGATGGTTTTTAAAACAAATATCTCAAAGGAAAATTTTTCAGAATTTGTTTATTTATATATTTTTTTTTAATTAGGTTCGTGTGTTAATTTTTTTTTTCTATCTTTTCTGTCTTAGTTTTCTAATTGTTTTTTAATTCATGAATGGTATATGTACATGGTGTATGCATCCTATATCGTTCATGCAGACCTCTAATTTAAAAAAAACACAATTTTAATTTTTTTTTCATTTTTCTCAATTTTGCATTTTCCGGATTTTTTAGAAACGCCAAATGAATTGGGAGGAAAAGTATTCTAGCTACAGCCTTCAAACATTGCATGCTTCTTTTCATTGATATTCTTTACAAGATTCAAGAGGCTTTTTTTTTTATATACCGGGTATATCCAACTAGAAAAGCTTTATAACATTTTTACATTTGCTACTCCTGAAGAGTTCTCAAATATTTATGTGACCCCCACACACATGCCATTTGTAACATTTCCAATAACTTCTGTGTAATAAGCTTCTTTAAACTTTATGCCAATGTTATTCTTAATGTGTATGCCAAGTTTCATTTACAATACAGTACAATAAGTTACAATATAATGCAATACAAATTTGTCTTTATTCATTCTGCGTAAAAGTCAAAATTGATATAAAATGTTTAATTTTTTGCAATAAAAGTCACAACAAATTTAAAAAAAATAAACTTTAGTAGATTTTTGTCTTTCTGTTTGTGTATGGTTTGTATGTATTATATTTTTTTCAATGGCTCTATTTATTTAGGGTTATCAGTATTTTATTTTCAATGTGGCATGACTTAGTTGCCTTGAAACCAAACTCCCTTCACAGATCACATTTATTTGCTCCCACTCAAAAATTACATCTGTACTTAAATGAAGAAATGATACAAACAATAGTTAACTGTACGGGTACCAACAAGGAATGTGAGAAAGTAAAAGGAGACAAATGGCAAAGGAATGATGTGACCTAATTGAATGAGTTTATTGGCTGCCTTACTGGCCCCTAATTTATTTTATGGATTACTTGAGTACACAACTCAAATAACTAACAACCAAACAAAAATGTTCTCAAGTCAAAATGGTTTTGTTTTTCTATTAAATTTTAAATTATGTACCAGTGTGTTAGACCCAGTAGACAGCTATGGTAAAAAAAAAAGACGCGTCCTCCAAAAATAAGTCTCTTTCTCATGCTTTATACAATGGCATCTTTTAACTTTAAGATGTTCATTGCAACTACCTTGTGAATTAGGTCAAGTCAAATAGAGAAGTTGTTGAAAGGAGATTCGAGATATCATTAAAAACAGTCAGTGTCCGCATGTAAGACTCCCAGTGCCAAAGAAAAAGTTTAAAATTTGTGGTTTTGTACTGTCTAAGCCAAGCTCTCTAGAGGAATAGTTGAAATTAATTCATTATGAATGAAATTTTCATTATTTAGAATACCTAATTAATTTATAAAGTACTGTGTGATTAAATCTTTAAATTAAACAATACACATAAATAATCTTAAATAAAGTTAAAAGATTTAATTTTAATAATTAAATTTAAATGATTAATTTTCTAAAATTCAAATGAAAACAATAAATGTATCTAAATCATCTTCATTACTAGATTTTAAAAAAAAATGATCTACGAAAATGGCTTAAACTAAAAAAGAAAATAAGAAAGAAAAAAAATCTACCCGTCCTAAGAAAAATTAATAAAGCAAAAATAAAAAAATAAAAAGAATAAAACTATGAATCTATGAAATAACAAGGAGAAAAAACAATTTAAAAAAAAAAAATTCTCATACTATTATTAGTTTTATTGTTATCACACCCGGCTCCGAAGCCATTTAATCTGTACGGAGCCTTTTTGGGTGCGAATAGTTATTGATAACATGGATCTATTAGGATAGATTATATTTAAAGGGTAGTTACTCTTATTAAAACATATAATTTTGTTGTTGTTGTGCCCCCTAGTCTACCATGTTGTTTGTTGTGGGAAGTCATAGTAGATAACTCTGCTAGGGCTGAACTTCCTGATTATCGTGGGAAATTCACTAATAAAATAATTTTTCTTAAAAAGCATTTTGTCATCATATCAAAATAAAATCATTTATTCCAAAAATCATGCCTGCTAAAGAAAGAAAAATAGCATTTATGGGATTTCGATCAGTTGGTAAGTGATGGTGATAGTGTTAATTTATGATGAGTGTTTAGTCTTAGTTCTAAGTTTGCTTGAGTGACTTTCTCCATGGGCGCTGACTCTGACTCGAGTCTGACTGACTGACTGATACTGATACTACTGATTTAATTTAACTGATAATGGCAGAGCCTGAGATTCCTCTTGACAAATCTTGATTGAATTTAAATTAATTCAATGAAAATGAAATTAATGAATAATAATTATCATTTTGAATTATAATTGTCAAAGTCATAGCAGTAGCAATCATCATCATCATAAATTAACATCATTTTTAATTTTATTTTTATGGCAATTATGGTTACTTAAATTTTATAATTACTAAACTAAATTCAGCCAGACCACAATGCCATTATAATAATTTGGCCTCATGCATGATAAATAATTTTATTTTTAAACAATCAAAGTTGAAACTGTAGACAGAAGTATTTGTATTAATATATCCAAATTGAAACTTTCAATTATTAATCGCTGAGCCTAGCTTAAAAAATAAAAAGTTCCAAACAGACTGCATCAACCATATCTCTGGTATTTGGAGACCCAATGCCCAATGCCAATGTATTTTGCAAAAAGGTAACAGAGCTTTTTAACTCAAGGCATACTCTTTACCTTTTTTGTCTTCTGTCTACAGTTTCAACTTTGATTGTTTAAAAATAAAATTATTTATCATGCATGAGGCCAAATTATTATAATGGCATTGTGGTCTGGCTGAATTTAGTTTAGTAATTATAAAATTTAAGTAACCATATGAAATACATATACAAAAATAAATAAAATCCTCATTTATGATCTGTATCTAATGAACATTTGCAACAATCAGATAAAGGATTATCTGAGATAAAGAAAAATAAGAACGATATAAGGGAAAGTCATTCAAATTATGATGCTGTACCAGTTTTTGGCTTAATGCTTGTGTTAGCTATATGATTCTTTTAAAAATATTTCATAGAAATTGAAAGAATACTGTATTTAAAAAAAAGATTTACGCTTAAGTGTTATGTACTTTTATTGAATAAAACAGCACGTATTCTATTTGTCAATGATTCCTACAACAACAGCAGTAACAGATACATTTCAGACACAAGCCTATTTCTATCATGCTAAAGCCTGGTGCAAAGTTTAGGGAAATCATATCTATTTTCAACTCACTGTAGGTTTAAATTGATCTCTGTGCCTAAAAATTATTTATCTTTTACCTAGTTTCAACTGGTTACACCTTTCTAACATCAATATTTTTACTTGTAATCTTAACCGTTTTGTTCTCTTAAGATGTTAGGAATGACATTAAGATGTTAGGAATGACATAAGTATGTAAGGAATGACTTTCAGATGCTAGGAAAGACACTAAGATGTTAGGATTGAAATCAATATATTAGGAATATCATTAAAATTTAAGGAATAACATTAACATGTTAAGAATGTCATTAAAATGTTAGGAATGACATTAATATGTTAGGAATGTCATTATAATGCTAGGAATAACATAAATTAAGATGTCAGAAATGTAATTAAGTTGTTAGGAATTAGATTTTTCTTGTGTGGTTGTTGCATTTGAAGTTTTAAAATACCTTATGCTTTTATAATTCCAAGATATTTATTGCTCCAATGAGGATTTTTATTTGATTTATTAGATTGAAACATTTCCATGCTACCGACACTGTCTATATTTTGACAGGAATATGAATTTTTTTCTTCCAGGTAAATCCTCCCTCATTATTCAGTATGTAGAAAACCAGTTTGTCGACTCCTATGACCCCACTATAGAAAATAGTAAGTTATTATAATATTCCGTATATTAAGCTTAACATGTATTTAAACTTTCTTTTAATTTTCTTCAATCACCCCTCCAACTAAATTATCTTTTCTCTGGAAAATTGAATTAATTTTTTTTTTAAAAGGAACATTGATTACTTATTATTGTGATAAAAAAATTAAATGTAAACAAAGTATAAGTGGAGAGCCACAGTGTAATCCTGATTGTATGTAAAAAAAATTTTAACAATTGGGAATTTTTTACCCTTTAAAATATAATCTTATCTCAAAGATTTTTCAAAATTAGTAAACAATGTGATTTTTAAAAAAAATATTTAAAGAAAACAATAGAAGTGTCTGCTGATCAACTAGTGCAATTCAACATGCAGAACAGCAGATGAATTTAAAGTCATGGAAATGAATAAATAAATAGACTCACTTGATAAATGAAGCATTCTGACTTTGTAAGTAATTAAGCAATCCCAATGTTTGCATGTTCATCAGTTTTCTATGCCTCCTCAAATTAATATTTTAAGAGTTCCACCATAAACTAGGCTAAATCTGTACAAAGTTTCACAATTTTTGTTGTTGCAAAATGTATGCTTTATTTAGAAATAAATATGACATTAAACGATATATTTAATTGATTTTCTAGAGAGCTCAATCTTGTTGTTCCAACTAGATAATTTCCAATTTCTATTAATTTGTGTAAACTGTTGTGGGCTATCCTTTTATAATTAGGAAATTTTCATTGTTACTTATTTCAAGCATTTTCCAAGACAACAAGGGTAGGAGGACAGGACTATGAGCTACATGTTATTGACACAGCTGGCCAGGACGAGTATTCTGTAATCCCTCAATCCTATTTCATCAACATAAATGGCTATGTCCTGGTCTATTCTGTCAACTCACAGAAAAGGTGGGTGGAAGGAAATAACAGCATCAGCATTGAAAGGTGTTGGGGGGGGGGGTCACTTTGCAGATTTATCATATTAACTAGAAATAACAATGGCTGTGGCAATTGTGAACTTCCCATCTACTAAACTAACTTGACAAAACATGTATTTAAGTAATGCACTTTACAGTGTTAATTTCTTGGAATTTTATTGTAAAATTAATTTCTAATCTATAAATCAAAGAATTTATCTATTTACATATAGGTCTAAGCATATTTATTTTTCCTTATTTAAATTGATTTGATTTCCATAAGAAAACACATCTCTCAATGAGTGTTTTGAAGGAACCCAGAGATAGGATTCATATCTTCCAGGCTATTGAACACAAATTTACATTTGAGAAATTGTATTTTTCACACGTTTGAACACAGTTTTCCATTCAGGCTTACACTCACATACATACATACCCACATACATACATACTTAGAGAATTATTATATGTTATATGTGATTGAGATAACCAATTTTATCAAAAGCCACAACTGACATTGATAAGATGAGTTGAGTCAATAAAAAGTTGAAAAATTTATCGTTACTTTTCACTATTATGCAACAGCAAATATTACTTTGCTTGAGACATGAGGAGCAGAGTTGTATATGAACAAAACATCAAGGATCATGATATGGAAAGCAATGTGTAGATCTAAAGTAAAAAAAAAAATAATAAAAGATGTAGAAATGAAGAAACAAAAATCTTTAAAATGTGAAATTTAGATAATTAGTTCACAAATTTTTTTGTGTTAAATATTTTTTAAAATTATGCCATTCGAAGCTATTTTGTCAGAATATCTAGTTATTAACATTTAGGAAGCATTGCATGAATTAAAGTAGGTGTGGCAGAAGCAATTAAGCAGTACAAGAATCTAAATGCCAGGTGTATGGTTTCTATATGACTGCCAAAATATTAAGCCCACATATTCTGCAAGTTGAACCTTTTCAGTGCAGCTTTTTACAAAAATTAGGTAATATATTGAGGTGCATTAGAAATTTAAAGGTGATTTTTATGGTCAAATAAATCAGTGTTGCTGATAGATTCAATTAATCTCCTTATTAGCATTACGTTTTAAACAGAGTTTAAAAAGAAAAAGTCTGGCAAGATTGTTATTCCCAAACCTGGAGGCTGAAAGTCCTTGTCCGGTGTCATTTCAGTTGTTTTCTTAGGTTAGCCGATCACTGCCGTGTCTCTAAAAATGTTAGATTTATCTGTACAAGAGTCTTAACTGGACATGAAGCATTGAAATATTTGATTAGGTCATAGGAACATTGCACATTGCTTTTACATTGATTCCATTTAAAAAAAAAAAATTTTAGTTTCATGTGAAGAAGCCCTCAATCTTAAATAATAATTGAAGAATGCAATTTTGAGAGATGTGTGCCTAAGCTTTTTAATAGTTACAGTTATGATTTAGTTACCTTCTGAGACTGGGAGGAAAAGATTTACCTTTATGTGTGTCTGTTGTTTTTTAGCTTTGAGGTGGTTAAACATGTGTACAACAAGATTATTGACATGAAAGGCAGAATGACGTAAGTAGAATGGATATAACTATACTTCACCATTTCAACAAATTGATTTCATTAGTGTGACTGTTTTCAACTTGACTCTATGCCTTTTACATTTGGATATATGGTTTCACACATGCACTTTTTTTGAAATTCAAACAAATTACTGGCCAGTATTGGCTGTACAGTTCTCGATTGGGCTAGAGCAGTGGTTCTCAAACTTTTTATGGCCACCACCCCCTTGCCACCATAAATTCTTCTCTGGCACCCCATCTGTTTTACCCCAAAAAATATATTTATGCAGGAAAGTAGTTTGATCAACGCTGTGAGAAAGACAACAAGACAGTAAAAATGTAAATAGGACTTTTAAATTAAATTATTTTTTCATTAAATTACTTCATTAATAAAATTATCACTTAGATCCATTAATACCACAGCTTTATAAAGCAGGATTATGATAAGCACTTGGTAATGATACCATGGTAACTTCTAGATCGGTCAGCTAAGCTCACTGTCTGCCTTGGTTGGGTTCGATACGATTTGTTCAAAGTCTTGAGTTTTAGTTTTAGCTAACCAAACAACAATCATAAATGAAATCTTTCAAATGATATTTATTGTATTTCCTTGCTTGACGTAAAGCAAAAAACAACCACATTAAACCAGCTACAACCAAATACAATGTTGTAAATAGAAAAATTTGATTATTTTTTTTTTCCCCCACCACTTTCCACTGTGCATAATAATATGAGCCAGAAGGATCAATACATTGATCGTGGGCCCTCAAAATATAGACGATAGAAGAATTACATGAAATTTTCTCTTAAGCTTCATCTAAATTGGATTTTAAGCTTAATTAACCTAATGCATCTTTAAATGAAAATTTAAGATATTTTAAATAGGGTGATAAATCCAATCACTCTTACATTTTATGTACTATATTCATGTGGTCGCACCGTCGCATTGTACTTGAAGATTATCACGCGGTAACCCTTCTTCTCTTATAATTGTGGCATTTGGGTAAATATCACTCATAAGCAGAGATGATTTTGATATGAAATTAGAGGCTTTGTTTGGTTTTAAATAGGAGCGACCTCATCTCCCCACAGCTGTAAATTAAATTCATTGAAATTTTCAAATATAATGAATGGTTAAGATATAATATATAATTATGATACATATAAAACAAAAATGCTTACAACTGTTTTTTGATGGGGTAAGTTTAGTTAATTTATCAAGAAGTCAAACACATGCACAGTCAGTAGGAAAGTGGGTACGCAGAGGGGGCAGTCTGCCCCGTGAGCACTAGTTTCCTTATATTGAAGGATGGCATTTCAGCACACTGTAAATGTTTTTATCATGGAAGGGGGAAGCAAAAAGCTTGGTCCGTTCCGGACGGCCCATGCCCTAACAATGCCACTGTGCACTTTTGCATCATGTGTTCTGCATTGCATAACAAAAAATATAAAAAATAAACCAAGATTCATAAATGTTCATGGAAACAAAGACATGATAATATTATTGCTTGCTGGATTCCGCCTGTAAGCATAATGATGACCATCTCTGGCAAGGCATTGTCATCTTCAAATTTAAATAAATATATCCTTGTTTTAAAATATTTTAATTAATAATAATTCAAGGATATTTATATTGTTAAAGTAGAGAAGCGAAAGGATTTCCTTTTTTTATTTATGCATCAAGTGAATATGTAGAAAAATTAATCTCTTTAAAGTATTACTAATTGTGTATATTTAATTGCTAATAGAGCTTAATGAAATCCTTTTTAATTAATGCTTGAAAAGCTTTACATGATGGGGGCGGGGGGTGGGGGGGGGGAGACGTTATAGTACCTCTTTTTCAAATAAATTTTTAATTTAAAAAAAAGCTTTTCTGATATAATCTACCACCACCCCCTTGAATAATCCATCCCATTGCCCCTATAAATCTACTGAGCATTTTAGCAGTTTATCACACCCCCTGGCACATCCCACCGCCCCAAAAAGGGGGGGAGGCGGATGGTTGCTATCGCCCACTTTGAGAACCACTGAGCTAGAGTAAAAATTATTTATACTCATACATATCAAAGCGATGCAAGTCAAATGTTATGTGTTAGCATTATTTTTTTTAAAATGCAAAATGTTTTAAAATTTCATATTTTAAACCATTTCTTTGTTGTTTTTTTTTGGTTTCTTTTTAAGATCTGAAACATAATTTGTGTACAATTACTGCTTGTATTTATAGTAAAAAAATATTGGGTCAGATGAAATATGCACTTTTTAAAAAAAATAAACATCTTACTAGTGATAGTCTTCAGCTACATTTTGACCTAGCTCAACTTAAGACCTGCAGGGCCTTAACTTCTTATTGATGTGCAACCTAGCCTTGTAAGCTTTATAATTATTTGTTTTTTTTTTTATCATAAGTAATCATATACTCAGTATTGGTAACTGTAAATTTGTATTCCCTCTCTAACAGGGTTCCTATAGTGTTAGTTGGGAACAAGAAGGATCTACGCTTGGAAAGGTGAGTCATGTTAATTGTCATTTCATTTGGCTGATGCTAATTTTTGTTCCATGCACAAGTGAGCATTTTTTTAAAAACTTTACTGAGCCTACATTAATGCAACATGTTTATTGTGGAGCTTGTAGACTATGAAATCTTTCTCTGTGTGTGCTTTTTTTGTGTTGGTAGTAGGTGGCTTTTCATTAAGCAGCATTCACATATTAAAAAAAAGCCCAACTAAAATTGTGCTGAAGCATGTCTATTGTCTATTTAACCTCATAAAGTTTTCCTTGAGATTCAACATACAGTGCAGTTGAGGACAATATTTTTAGCGGCCAGTATAGTAAAGTTTACCTTAAATTTGTAGAATTTCGTTTTACATATTAAAGTAATTTAAATGATTATAATTAATTTCTTTAGAATGTGAAAAGGGAAGTGATACATTTTAAAAAATGATATATGGATAAATTTTGTTTTTCATTAGAATATTTAAACAAAAGCTTTGCTGGATTTAACTAAAAGAACATGGATTTATTGACCACTTAAAGAACAATCTGTCTTTTTTTCTTTTTTTATATCATACTTGTACAGTGAGCAAAGCAATATCTGTCCCTCGGCTAAGATAAATTTTATTTATATAGAATATATTTTTTTTAAATTTATAATTATAAAAAATATTTGAATGTAACTCTTACACTTATTTTTATTATAGCAGAGAGTGGTTAGACCTGACTATAAAATGTTAAGTTTTATCAGTTGTTGTTTCAGATTGTGTTTTTTTCTTTTTTCACCAAATTTCTCAATTGGCCCGCCTCATGTTCAATTCATCTTTAATTTTCCAGTGACAGTTTTGATTATGATAACACTAATTTTGAAAACCATCCTCGGTAGGTGATTTTTAAATAGTGGAAATAAAAGAACAGAAAATCCTGATGTTATTAAAGCATGAGTTACTCCTCTTGTCATTATAACACCCCCTTGAAGTTTAAAAACAAAAATCCAGTACATTTCCTACAAATAACATTCTAACAGTTCCTTCTTTAAATATCAATATACAATTATCGTTGATTAAACAAAACTGCACCAACAGCTGTTGCCCATGCCTGAAAAGATGAATATTTGCTTCAAGTAAATTTTCTTTTGAAATGTAAGCACTTTTGAATATTCTCTCTTTTCACTTTCTGAAAAAACTGTAATAATTGTGCAATCTCTTTCTAGATCTGGGGAAAGCCTCTAAAGTCTTCTTGCTGTTGTTTTTTTCTTACAGTTATTTAAGGGAATGAATTAATATATAACATTTTTTTTTTCTTAACAAATGTGAATGAATATTAACAACACCATAAATTGCTTTGATATTGTAAAAGAACTAAAAAGATCTAACATGCACATAGAAATATATTTTTATTTTACTCTTAATTTTTAATTAACAATAGTAAATTTCTATTTTAAAAAAGTATTAGTATTTTAACAAAATGATTAAAATTGATTCTACTAACCCATCTAACTCATTTTCCTGACAGCTTATTTTTAAATTTCAAATATCCAATAGATATTTCTATTCTATACATTTAAAAAAACCAAAACAAAAACTTAATTCCTCTATAATTTTTAACACACTCCAGTGGGTATTCTTAATTCTCATTCCCACCCCTTAAGAAAACAACTAGTGTTGCCAAGACACCCTGGATTCAGTTAGCAGTGTTCTTAACATTGACATGTAACTCTTGTTTTCTTATCTTAACCATGGAGCATTGTTTGTTTTTTTTTTTTTGTTTTTTTTTAAATTTCTATTTTATTATAGGAATGCAAATAAATAATTGTTTAATTTACTTTACATTCAAATGCAATTTAAAAAAATTATTTCTGAACTTTATTATATTATGGATGATTTCATATCATTCTAGAGGACAGGGATATATATAAATACATAAATATATACACTGAGACCGGAAGAAAATGGAACCCATTTGATAATGATCAGTCAATGGAGAGTTAGTCTTGAAGCCTGTGTTGAAGCTAAGGGTGGACAGTTCGAACACAAACTATAGTTGAATAAAAATTTAACGTTATGTTAGAATTAAAATGGGTTTTGGAATTTAAAAAATTGATAAATATTTACCATTAGTTTTTGTCATTATAATTATAAAAAGTGTTGGACTGCAATAAAGCTTTAAAATGGATTAATAAGACACGAACAAATTGTGTCAATATAACAATAAAAGTTACGCTTTATTAATAATTATACATTATACACAAGTAAACGTTTCGGCACATGCCTTCATCAGTACAAACAAACAAAACACATTTAAATAAGTATAAATTAAATTTACATAATATAAATATACATATCCTACCTAAAACAGAAAAATATAGGAGAGGGCGCTAAAACCAGACAAAAACAAAGTAAAGAGGAGTAGAAAGGAAGTGATTTTAACATAAATTAAAAACCAAACAGGAAAAAGACATGGCAGTTAGGTAAAATTGTGGATTTGGTTCATTCCATATGGAGACAACGTACCAAATCTAGTTATTAATTTGTTCTCCATATAGATTCTAGCTGTAGTGTTACTAGTATAGAGTATACCAGTAACTGCGATGTCTGAGATACCATCATGGTTAGGGCTATTGAAATGTTTGGAGACCGGACAGAGAGCGTGTTCATTTATGTTATAGAGGTGCTCTCTGAACCGGTCCCCAAGGCGACGACCTGTCTCTCCTATGTATAATTTACCGCACTTTTTGCAAACTTTTATTGTTATATTGTCATTATAACAAGGGTTTCTGTCAACTTTCTGGATATTACCCCAATATTAAAACAAATTGTGTTATTCAAATCTGACTACTATTGAGAGTCATAGTTACCTATAATACTCCCAGCCGAAATCATGCAAATACTTCAAACCTTTCTCCCAACTTCTCAGACTACGTCGCCTCTGCCAGTTCCATGAAGACTTTTTAGACAACTGTAATGAAATGATGGACTTCTTCCACTCTAGATATTATTCTGAAACTACTCCTGTCTCTGCACTCAATCGTTTCAACATTTTAACACAGAATGATGCTTTCAACCCTCACCCAAAACAAAAATGAAGATCGAACCAAACTCATTCTAACCTACCACCCTCACAATGTGATTGACAAAAAAATATTCCCAAGTAATCGACACATACTTCTTACATACCCTGTCACCAACAGGGTATTCTCACCCCCTCAACTTATTGTCTTCAAACGGAACAAAAATTAAGTGGCTCACAGTCGCCTTTGAGCTGACCCATCTCACTTTGGGACTAAGTCATGCTCAAGAAGCTGATGTGGGACTTAACCTTATACACTCAAAACCAAAAACATTAGCATCTCTAAGGGTACTTTAACCATCAAAAAGGGCTTCCCATGTGTTAGTTGAAATATGACCTATGTGATTGCATACTGTATATGCCCCTTCTGTTATATAGGCAAAATGGGAAGAAGATTATCTTATAGGTTCACTGAACATCTTCGTGATATCGAACAGGACAAACTTTCCCGGATCTCATCCCAACAGAGATAAACACTAAGGCACATCAGCTGTTTCCCCAGCAAGTGTTAGAAAGGAAAACAAATTAATTCAGATTTTCCGCACAATATCACCATATGGAATTAATCAAATATTCTCCTGCTAGTGATCCTCAATTTCCCTGTATTTCTTTTCTTATTGCTTAAATTTTACATATTTTCCAAAAGTTTTTTTTTCACTAAAATCTTATTTTTCACAGCAATGATACATAAATTATTTTACTTCCTGTAATCTTTTGGGTAGAACACACATTTTTATTTTGGAAAACCAATCTTCCGGCAATAACAAAGTATTCATGGGGAAATACAAACACTTATGTTTTTGAACTGTTTTCTATTTCTTCTTTTGTCCTGTCTGCTGAAGAAGGCTCTTAGCTGAAACATTCTATTTCTATTGTCCTGTCATTATATATCAAGCTTACACATACCTTGTTCCCCTATTCCATTTTTTTTCGGGAGACAGTGTATATATAATCATATAATTATCATTTGTCAAAATTCCTTAAAGAATATACCTGGCTTAAGAAAGCTTGCCTCATTTTCATTGCACTAATTTTAGCAACTCATTGTCGAATTTGATTATTTTTAGCAAGTATTTAATGAAATGGAGCAGAACCATTAATGCTTTACTTTTCTTAAACATGAATCATTACATGTGGTATATTAAGTTCCTTTAACTAATGAAAACTCCCTAAGACTTCCACTGTACATAATTATTTTCTATTATTAATCCAGACCTGCACTTATAGTTTTATTTTTGGTTTTTCTTACAGGGTTATAACAGAAGAAGAGGGCAGACGTCTGGCTGAAACTTGGAAAGTTCCATTTCTTGAGGCATCGGCTAAGGAAAATTCTGTAATTTTTTTGTATCTTTTGAAATAATTTTGTTTAAAAAGTGGAATCAAATGCCAATGATTTTCCAACGCTAAAACAAAGCAATTTCCAAAATAAAAGCCTAGTTATTACTTTTTAAAAAAGTTGTATTTTAAATTATGTCTTAACTGAGGCCTGACATAAAGCACATGCTCGTATTTGTAAAGTATAGCGTGTAATGATCTCTCTCTGGATCTGATGTTTTTTATGTGATCACTGGGCCTGATAATTTTAAAGGCACTCAGCAGGATTTTCTTTCAATCTGATTTCAGTCTGTGAAGGAGATATTTGACACCATTCTCAACACTATGAGACAGAAAGAAAATGGAGAGACAAATGAAAAGAGTAGTTGTACACTGTCATAGTGACCACACGGGGACACACACACACAAAAGGAAACGGTGTTCAAGCCTCCATAGTCTCTCCATGGTCATTGAAACTCAAGTCATTTGATATGAAGATGCTGGTTCTCAACACATGGAGGTGAAGCCCCCCGAATCATCGCCATCAAGTTGTTCCTGTAATTTTATGAAGTTAATGAATGAGTTTGTGAAGTATGTCTTTTGGCAAGTTTTTATGAAGGACTTGATGTGTCAGTGATATGCGGCTGTGTGAAGTCTTAGTGTTGTCTTAATTAATGAAATATGCGAATGTGCAGGATTATTGTTTATTATAAGTTATTTTATACCTGTAAATGGAAAAGAAATATTTTTTGTTACAAGTTGTGGGAAGGGAAATGAGAAAAATAAAAACATGTTTGACAGCTAAATAACTTTTATTAGGTTATTTCTTTTAACAAAGTTACCCATGTACTTTTTTTTTTTTTTAAATTTAATAACGACTGTACTAATGTTAGAAATAACTGAGAGGTCAAGGCATCACTTTGGATAAAATGACTTTTAACAAACTAGAGGTTCTCAGCCTTTTTTTTTTTTTTTTTTAAATTTTTTGACCCCCTTTTTAAAGTTTTTGTGCCCCTTTAAAAAAAAATTAGAAATAACTGAGAGGTCAAGGCATCACTTTGGATAAAATGACTTTTAACAAACTAGAGGTTCTCAGCCTTTTTTTTTTTTTTTCTAAAATCTGTGACCCCCTTTTTAAAGATTTAGTGGCCCCTTACAAAAAAATTATAATTAATATTAAAAACAACAATTTAAATTGTTCAACTATGGAAACTAGTTTTGCATTATTTTTTTTTTGATGATTGCTTTAAATTTTTAACCTCATTGATAAATTTAGAATTTAATTAGAGAACCACTGCAATACTCAACAACATATACTGGCTGACATTGTCAGTGAAACAAAAATTTTCCTTCTTATAAAGATTTAACATTTTGTTCATAGCAGCACAATTAAAGTTTAAGCCAATTTTATTTTTTAAGATTGAAGTCAAAAGAATAAGTATGTGAGCGTCAACTGTTTATTTAAAAATGTTTTATTTCCAGACAGAAAGTTTTAAATGTATATAAAAATGGTTTTGGGGCAACAATACTGACTAGCGCCTCATTTAGAGCAATGTACATAATCATTTCTGAGTCAGCGTATTTTATCAAATTTTTCTCTAGTTTGTAGATTTCTTTACTATATAGTCATTTAGAATTCCATTTCTTAAATATTTTGTAATTTATTTTTTTTTGTGTGAACAAATCTGCAATGTAATGTAATGCTTATAAATTGTGCATACATTTTTAAATGGCATTTATGACAAAATAAATCAGTGTCTAATGGCACATTATTCCAAATCACACATATTTTCTATCTATCCATCTTCCAGAAGGTTTTTAGGGAAAAATTGGTGCCAGTAACTAAATCTCAACTGAAATTTAAGGAGTGCATGGATTGGAGTGGTGAAGACAGTGTCCTCTAAAGAAACAATTAATTTTGCTCAAACTTTGAATGATGAAAGTTAAACCAACAAGAGAATTAATTTTTTTTTAATAAAGTCAGTTATTATAATAATAGTAAATAGCTTTGTCAGTATTGTTACCCTGTCAAAAACTAGAACAGTGGAAATCAAAGAAAACAAACTCATCCAATTTTGTCACCATGTAAATAAACATCTCTCTCCCTTTACAATGCTTTGTTTTTTTTTTTTTTGTTGTTTTCCCCCCCCCCCCCTCCCCCTGCTTCCCTCCAGCATTGAAGTTTTATTAATCTGTTGATTATAATTTAAATATCATTATATTGGACAGCATGAAGACTACACATCAGTCATTTTTATTTAGCTCTATTTTTAATTGAGATCAAAGGAGAACATACATAAAAAAATTTGTTTATCAAATTTCTGAAAGAGAATTCATTACATCTTAAAACTTCAGTCACAAAAATATCACCTACATTTATAAATAAATCCACATCAAATATATACATCAACAAAAGAAAACATTCTTACACTGTAGCAGTGGTTCCCAACCATTTCTGTATTGGTTCAAATGCTAACTATGAAGCCCATTGTAATTATCCATGTCCTTGCCTAACCAACGAGTACGGTATCTTAGGTGAATTAATAAACAATTTGATGTTTAACTGGTAAAAAAAAATGCATGATACTAATTGATTGTGAAACTCACACAGTATAAATATTTTTTATTCAATAACTGAATGATACTAGAATGTTGTTAGTTGACCCAAGGTTGAGAAACAAAGCTCTAAGCAAACAACCTAAGATGACTGTCACACTGTTATCACAAATTCTTTAAACTATGAACTAAATTAGGCACACCATTATACACAACTATACGCTGTTTTGTATGTGTCTTTAGTAATATACACATATTTCAACCTGAAAAAAAAAACATTAAACCCATTATTACTTAGAAGCCAATGTCAAACTTTAAATTAAAGTATATTACGACATATAATTATAATAATACAAGAAATTTTAGGGTAAAAAATGCTACTGAAAATTAGGGGGTCCATTTTTATGTGCATATAACACTTTTTTTAATTTTAGGTTAACGATATGTACTAATGCTTACGTAACGAAATATTTTTGGCCCATTCACATTTGGGCAGCGAGGTATTTGCGAATAATTCAATGCTATTTGATGGGATATAAGCAGAGTCGTATCAGAATGACTGCATGTTAAATACTATGATAATTTAAAAGATTTTATGATTTCTTTTATAAATAAATATATATTTTTGTTGATTCTTATTGTATTATTATGGAAGAAAACGGATCACATTAAATGTAGACATGGCATTTCAGGGCTTTTTTCAAACAAAGAGTTAGCTATTAGCATTATATGTGGATCATGTTATGCCTTGTAGAATGGGTTATGTTAGAAAGTGACCTCTTTATTTCATTTATCAAGCAAAAAAGAATCTTTGAGCCAGCTTAAAAAATTTCTATGCATATAGTTTGATTGGTCGAATATTCTAATAAAAAAATCTTCTGTCTCTGTCAAGGATGGAGAGAATATGATTTAGCAATAATAAAATCAAATAATTTCTTACACATCTGTAAGCCTCAGATGCTTGCTAGTTGCTTACCTAGTCCTAAAACATGTCTTTTCAGACCAGATCCCACAAGGGACTGGGTATTGTTCATGTATGATTTTTCTATAAGTCTTTCTGTGCGGGACTTGAAACTCTTCATAATTACATATCCTGAAAACCCAAAGGAAAGAAACAGTTTACAAAAATATTAGGATTAAAATAATATCCTAGCTCTGCATGAATGCTTGTTATTTAAAATATGTTTTTATTTTTTTTTTAATTCCCTTTATGCTTTGTCTGTAACAGAGTTTTCATGCCATTAAATTAATAAAAGTTAATTTTAAAAAAATAATAAAAGCAATAAAATTAAATTTAAAAACCCGAGTCCAATGGAATTTACTTTGTTCATGGCAATCAAAAAAAAATTTTTGGAGCAAAATTATTTGACTTATAATATTAGAAACAAAAAAAAATTTGTTTGCCTCATTTCACATCGCCTTCCATAAAAACCTGGAGGACATCTGCACTTCCCATTTTGACACCTGCCACCATTATGACACATTTGCTGACATTTCTCTGTCAATGGGGGGAAAAAAAAAAAAAGCACTCTTAAATGTATTGCTTTCTCATAATTTATACTCTACCTAATTTATCTTAAGTCAGTTTCATGATGAAACTTGCTGAAAGCTGTTTAAAACCATTGTTTTTATGATTTTTAAAAAAAATTGCCTATGTCAAAGTGTGTATTGAACTTAACTCTCAAGTTGGCTTTACCTTTGTGACAAAATCTGCCATAGAATGGAGGTGGACACTGGCATTTGTTGGGTGCTATACAAGTTCCACCATTCAAACAAGTAATCTTGCATTTAACTGAAATATTAGAAAGGTAAATTTTGTGAAGCTCCTCTAGTTGTCATAACATCATAAGAGATATAATCTAAATCTTAGTGAAAATTTGTTGTTGAAGAAGAAAAAGTTCATTTCTTTTAACATCATTTTTTTTCAAGTATCATTTATCTTGAATAGGGAACTTGAATTTTAAATGGTTTCAAATCTTTAATTAATTACCACTCCACAAATATTTTTTTTTGCACTTTAAGATATTAACTTTTTATAACCGCTAAAAAAATATTTGTAAGAAACAAATTATTTTTAGCATTTTTTTATTTAGAATATTCAGCAGATAAGAAAGGTGTAATTAACTCATTTGTATGCAAATATTGCCTTCATACAGGAGATTAATTATCAGGTAATTGTGTATTTATTTACCTTTCTGACATCTGGAACCAAAGAATCCTGGGCTGCATACACACAGATCAGGTGATACACAAACTCCTCCATTTTCACATTTGGGCTTACATCGCACTTAAGTGGGGAAACGAAATATGCAAAAATTCTCATCATAATAAAATCACATAGACTTAATTGTTCATTTCCCTAATGGCCTATTTGAACAACAGAGGACATGCAGCATGGGTATTACATGAATGTTTTAAATACTATAAAGCATAAGTGAATTTGACATATACTAAGTTTATACCCTTACCAATGATAGGAAAAGATTGGAAAGAGTTAGAGAAGATAGATGGAAATAGGAAGGCATAGAAGGATAGTGTTAGTGGCCTAGGCTGCATTGGGAGTTGAGAAAGGCAAAGGAGAAGGAGAAATGATGTAAAAATTTATCTTAATATTATGATAAAAATAATTATTTTATGTTTTTTAAAGGAAAGACTTTTATAAGACATAATGTTCTTTATTTATCAATAAAAAAATTTATTTGAAGGCAACACAAGAAAATATATTTGAAAATGATTTTTTTTTTAAAGTAACAATATTTTGAATTGAGATGAAAAGTTGCATATCATTTTCTGCACATTGGATGTGCTGTTGTTAAATGGAAACATAGCTACTCCATCGTCTCGGGGAAGACGGAAGGATGCCATATATTGAATTCTCACTAACTTTCAAGTTAAAGACTCACAAGGTTCACAAAGAATCTTTCAGAAAATTATGGGAAACAGGTACTTTTAATAGCAAGAGCAACACTTGTCATTTATTTGATTGTGCTAAAATATGTCATAAAGGTATTTACTTCACAGCTTGGGGAGTGGGGATGGGGTGAAGGTGTGTACGTAAAATGTGAAATTTGACTAAATAGCTTTTTAACATTAAGTTTCTGTCCCTTTCAATACACTGGATAATTCAATGTTAATTTCCATTATATCAAACAAACACCTGACAGGTCTATCTTATATAAAACATAAATTTTACATGCTAAATGTTAATTACCTTTTTGGCATCTTTTCCCATAAAATCCAAGTGGACATAAGCAGAGGTTGGGTGCCACACATCGCCCCCCGTTATAACATCCCCTTGAGCAGACGGCTAGAAAACACGTGTTTAAAAAAAAAACATTATTGCAACACTTCTATCTCAATGTATGACCCATGCACATTGCAAGTGAGATGAGATGACAACTCGTTTAGAGACAATGTTTAAATATTTTTGGATAAAACAAAATTTATTGTTTGTTAACTCTTCACTTTGTTTGTTATGCATGAGGTTTTAAAGTGGTCATCACTGTACAAAAATAAATCAATTAGGATGTAGGACCGTCAACAGATGTTCACACACCTATGAACAAAAAAAATATTTCTGTGACTTACGTTGAGAACAGTCTGTCCCAGAATAAAGCCTGTTACATCTGCAGATGTTCAGACCAATACACTGGCCACCATTCTGACACGCAAAACTGCACCTCACTTTAAAAAAAAAACCCATAAAAGATCATTATAAAGACAAATAATCAAAATGAAATGCCCAGGTTAATTAGAGAATTGTGACTAACATTCTGAGATTTGGGGATGATTTGTTATTATGTTTCCTTATAGATAAAACATAAAGGTGATGTCGTGGAAACTCAAAAGATTTCCCACAAATATGTTTGGGAATTTTTTTTTAAAACTCCAGGAATAAGCCATGAACACAAAAAAAGAAATTATTATCTCAGAGAAGCAACCAATCAGAGATGACACAGATTAAGATAAACATTCACTTTTTAACATATTTTTGATTAATTATAATCCATTTATTATTATTACTCACCATCACATGAAGGACCAGAATACCCATGAGGACATTCACACTGACCAGGCAGGACGCACTGACCTCCATGTTGACAAGGTAATACACAAACAGCTGTTAAGACGAGTAGAAAAAAACAACTTGACTCAAATTATATACAAACATCATTGGGGATCAATAAGGGTAACCCAATACCAATAACAATTTAAAAAAATAAAATAAATTTCTATTTGAGGAAATTTATATACATAATAGTTGATCCAAACACAGAAATGAATACTTTTTCTTCATCAAAATAATTTACCTCAACATGTTGACTGAAATACATACAAAAAAGTTTCAACTTACGGTCTTGGCAATAAGACCCAGTGTAGTTTACTGTGCATTTGCAAACACCATCAGGGCCACAGACGCCTCCATGCAAACACGGACTCTCACACATTTCTGTAAGTCAATAATTTTATTAAACAAAAGACAGATGACATAGTGGAAAGTACTTCAGGCTTAGAAGCACTCATTGCTTAAAATCATCTTATATTATATTTTGATGGGTTCAATTCAAAGCCAGGATACAATAAAATTCAATTTTTAAATTTAGACACAGCTACTTACTGTTCTGACATAAAACTCCGGTAAAGCCCTGGTCACATTTGCAAATATTGCCAGGTAAACAGATTCCACCATTGGAGCAGGGAGGGAAACATTCTATTCAAAGAAAATACATGTAATTTTAATTTTAGTTTAACAATAGCTAAATCTTAGAAAATGAAATGGTGACAGTCAGTTGGGGGAACAAAGGGATCAGGGGTGGCACCTAAACACATCCCCTAACTTAGTTTTGGAAACAAATCTGCAGATATATTCTTTTTTTTTTTTAACAGAGGTTCTTAAACCCCCTCATTTCCTGTATCCCCATCTCAATTTCAAAACAAATATTCCGCAACCGCAACAATTAAAACATGCAAATAAACCTGATTCTCTGTCTTCCTGCACTCCCAAACACTGCCTCCCAAACCCCCTGTTGTACAAGGAGTTATTATGGAATCTAGTTTGTTTCCTTTTTTCTTGAAACCCAAGTTAGTTTCCCACAACATCACAGAGTCAATTTTGGTGCTAATTTATTTGTCAAACTCATCACTGTTCATTCTTTAGTAATTCATCATTTGCGGCCAGTAGCCTACTTTTTAAAGAATGTTTTTGCATGCTATGGGTTCAACATCATCTCCTTCATGCTATTTAACACATTGAGCTTTCATGATGTTGGTGAATGATGATGATTGGGAATGAGAAGGATGAAGTGAAAAAGATCATCCCACCTTGGCAGCTCCCCAAGTAGCAAAGCCTCGTTTGGGCTGGCAAGGTTGAAACAGGGAGACAACTTTGAGCACTGACTATGTTGGCACGACAGTACAGCACTCTTGTTTGCCACCCCTGTCCGCAGGTGGCGCTGCAGGTGGACCAGGCCGACCATTCAGATCCATACACTGCAAGCCAAAGGGGCGTAACTCGTAACTGCAAGTCGAGGTAGTAGTTTGTATGTGACAACTACCAAATATTTTATTAAAATATTACAGCTACATTTATCTACTTCGTTATTTTACTTTCATTTACTGCCTAATTTAATACACCCTATATTGTTGAATATGTATATTGTTCTTGTTGAAATGGGAATATTAGCAATTTTACAGAACCATTTTAACATTTGTGCCAATTTTATTGAATATTCAACATGATCAATGACTTTGGAAATTGATCTTGATTAAAAAAATGTATTTGAATAGAAAAAAAAATTCTTTAAAAAAAAAAATGTATTTGAATAAAAACTTCTAACAATTAGCAGATAGGATTCTTATTTAATAGATGTGCCAGTCTTAATTTTTCATTTTTTTTTTAAAGTTTGCAATACTTCTTTTGTACCTTGGTGATAAAAAGATTGGGTTGACTTTAGTCATTGGTGCCTGCTAAAACAAACTACTGATTGAGCTTGTGTTTCATAAAATAGTTAAATAATTACCTTTCTTTTTTCATTTAAAAAATATTTTTTATTAAATCAATAGGTTGAAATATTTAAGTCAATATTCAATCTTATGGTAATCTTATACAAAGAAAAATTGATGAAGATTTTAAGTAATATATATTTTTAGAAATGATAATTTACCTATTGGTTTAGCAGTCACTGTTGTGTATCTGAATTGAGTACTATCTTCATAAAAACTGTTAGCTGCTTTCTGGAATTGGACATTCAAAAAATATAAGAATTCATCACCACCTTAAACTCTAATGGCAAGAAATTGATCGTTAAAATATGTTGATAATTTTTAACATACATTTCCACTAGCAAGTAATTACTTTTAATTCTTAAATAGTTAAGAAGAAGATTTAGGAATATGGAGTTGAGCTCACCTTGTCCAGAACAACCAAACCACATTGCTGACTGGCCACTTCAGGGTTAGAGGTGAACACCAACTGTTCAACTTCACCCTGCAATATTTATTTCACATTTTTAAGTGTTGATAAGAAAGCACATCTTAAGATTAAAGGCTCACAAGTGTAAAAGAAAGGATAAGCTGAAAATGTGTAAATTTGATTGCGTGTTAATAGTTTTAAAAAAAAATTGTGTAGAAAATATATCTATAAAGTATGTCAAATATTAACTTACTATGAGATTTTTAAGCACATAATGTAATTTAATAACTTAAAAGAAAATGTCATTCCATTTATTAAAAAGTTTCAATAGAATCATTAAAAAAATTATAATCCTTTGTAAGAGGGAAAATATTGCAGAATAATTAATTTATTTAATGAATAAAGTTACATGCTGAAACTAAGCAAAACATTTCTAATATTAATTACCTCAAATGGTATGCCATGTTGAGAGAAATATGGACCTATTGACATCATCAAATTAGTTCCCAAATGTTCTTCTTTGCTCCGCAGCCGTTTCTTGATAACCATTTCACAATCAGCATATAAGGTCACTGTATTTTTGTCTACAGATATTGCAATACTGTGCCAGGTGTTTTCAAAGATGTCCATTTTGAATGCATAATTATATCCTAGGTACTGGAACTTAAGCCTTTTCCCCAAATAAATAGCTAGCTGTTGTCTGCCTTGAATATCACTGATGACAAAGAAATATCCTCTAGGTTTTTTACTGGGCATCTTAATTTTGGCTAGAACTGAAAATTCTGAAGGTAATGTCACTTCAAAAATTCTAGACACAGACATTGATATTTTAGCTTGTTTGCTTATAACATAAGTAGTAGACCTGTTGGGACTTTGGGTCACTCCTAGAAGATTACCACGTACCCCCATGAGTGTTAGGAGATCATGGTTCTCTGAAAATCAAGAACATATATTGTTGGCAGATCAAAGTTAAAGGTTGCTAAAAGTTTATTATTAATATTATTTCTTTTTTCCTACATTTTTTAAAATAGACGTGTAACAATATAAAATGGGATATATTATTTTAAAATTAATAAGAACAATGATATTTATTATGTAACAATGTATAAATATAATTTGCAATGCATTGAAGGGAATAGGAAGAGAGAGAGAATTCAATTCTCAGATGTGTTTGTTAAGTTTTCAATTTAGAGTTTGCATTAGTATGGAAATTTGGAGAGGAAAAAATGTAGCAGCCTATTTTCTTATGTTTATAATTTTAATTTATGGTTAATACATAAAATTTAAAATCCATATTTAAAAAAACGATATTTAATTGGAGCATAAAGGAATTTAAACAAAAAGTATTTTAATAGTTTTTAAACTGTCATTTAAGTTTTGATTATGTTTAAATTAGCAGGATTCGACAGCATGAACCTCTTTGAATTGCTACAACTTTAAACTATTGAATTGTCACACTTTTATTACAATTTTTATTATTTACATTGAAAGTATTCACAATTGTTCAAATTATGTAGCCTACTCTAGACACTCCAGTAATTTTACAAAAAAATCATGCCCTGAAAAATATCCAATATTCTCTACACACATTCATACACAGCTTACACTGAGGGATTATAATATTAATCTATATTAAACTTAGCGTATATAAAACACTTAAATCAAATGGAGGCCAATTAAATAATTTTGCATACGATATAAAGATGTGTTATAAGGGGAAATCACTGGAAATAAAATAGATGAAATGTGCTAATCAATATGCTTCCCCGTGTTTAAAAACAACGTTAAAGGAAATACACTTTTTAAATTCTTTATTTTTTTTAGTAGGCCTGTTATCTTGTCAAAGGCTAAGTTTTTTTGTGTGAATTTTAGTAGTCTACTTTTAGTGGTATTTTTCAGCACTTACTCTAGGTCTAGATATATAGATTTAGTTAGAACTTGACAAACAAACATCAAAAGAAAGCTATACGTTTCTTACATGGATTTCCCTTAGCGATGATAAAATACGTGATTTTATTTTTAAAATTTTGGTCATGAATCGTTATTTTAGAATATTTACCTCTTTCCGTATTTTAAAAGCGCAACGTGGTAGGCACCACAAAAACCAAACGACTATGGCACCCCCCCCCCCCCCCCCCAGCTTTTACCCACAAAATTGTTGATCGTACCTTCACAAGAGAAGAGGTTACAAGTTTTCACCTCCTTGTCCACACCGACACAAGAGCTTCTATTTCTGCTAGGACAGTCACGTGACCTTATCTGCCGTCCACCACCACATCCAGCATTACAAGGTGACCAGGAGCTCCATTGGTTCCATCCTGAAATACGTTCCATACACTAGAATTATGATCTGAATGCTAACACAACATATTTTTTTTTAAAAATCGCAACTGGAAGTTGCAAAAGTGCGCACATGATAGTTAATATTTTGTTTAAACGGGCAAGAGACATGAAGGCAGAGAAGGGTAGAGAGTGAGAGAGAAAGAGAGGGGGGAAATGGCAAAATGAATATCGAATTATACATTAACGGTTATCAATAAATGACTTCATGCGTCTAGGGGAAGGTGGTGGTCACATTTGTGTAACGATGTGAGATGATGGGTATGGGGGCTGGTATTAGCAATGTAACGTCACATAAAATTTCAAAACATTTCACGCACCCTTCCTTCCGTCTTCCCTATAAATTATATTGTAATAATTTTTTTTAATGAAAATAATTAAATAATTAATTATAGTTTTATTTCTTTAATTAACTTTCTAGAAACCATATGGGAAATGCACCAATACAATTAATGCGCAAACAAAATTCACCACAAAGTAACATTTACTGCTGCTAATCGAAATCCCGAATGGTAGATTAGCAAAAGTGATCTACAGGTAGTAACCTAGGGGCAGACGGCTCACCGGTCGACCAAGGCTGAGATGGAGCGATGACATAGAAAAGGGCTTGCATCAGTTTGATGTCCACGCATGGAGGCGAAAAGCCACAGATTGATCCGAATGGAAGGATGTGGTGGAGCAGGCCAGGGCCCTACTAGGGCCGGAAATGGTGATCCATGGTGATTGTCGGAAATGGTGACCTATGGTGATGGCCGGTGAACTTAGTGACTCCACCAATAAAATCGTCGGCTACCCGGTTGCCCCGTCTACAAACCCTAAGCCTAATGATAATTGGTGTACTGTTCATTAAGTTAAGCAGTTCTAATAAAAGAGTCTATAACATGCTGTTTCACTTTTAAACTTTTATTTTTAAATGAAATAGGAAGGCTGCAGTGACTGAGTGATTTTGTATGATTTTTTTTTTTTGGGGGGGGGGAGGGGGGTATGCGGATGGCTGTGAAGTTATATATGAGGGGAACGGGGTCTGAAGGAAAAACTTTTTATGAAGATTTATGACGACGGGGGTCAAAAAAGGTCCAATTGGCGTGACGTCATTTATGGATAGCAGTTTCTTTTTTTTTTCTCAAAAGAACATTTTGTTCATCTTCCCTTCACCATTCCATCGAAATGTCAGGCTATAAAATCCTTTATATCAATAACTTCGCTTTTGTTCGTGAGTTTCCGTGTTTAAGGCAAAAATCTTCGTATGGCTAACTGACCCACTTCCCGTCATCCCATGGAACACCAACTTGGCACATGGGGGTCATTGCCGATCACAACACATTCAATCAAGTTTTCAGCCCCCTTACCTCAACCCCCAACAATATATTGTTTTTTCTGTTTTGCTGTGGAGATTAATTCTGTAGCTATTGCTATTTGCATTGCATTCGTGACGTATTCGGGTATGCAGTAAAAACGGAAATGTATTTTTGAAAGGGGGAAATGAAGGGACAATAAAAACGTGTTTCCGCCAGAAGTTGACCCATATACGTGACCGCTTCTTATTAAATGATAAATCACGTACAAATACATAAATGCAAACAACAATGCATTGAACGGATTTATAAGAAAAGCCTTTTAAAAAAAAAGGTTTTGTTTAATTTATTGTTACAGTGATAAGACAAGATACAGTAAAGCTGTTTCAC